ATGTGCTTAGGAGAAAAGCTCGGGTGAAAGCCAGAGCAAGAAGGAGCTGGAGGCAGGATTGGGAATGCACAACACCCTGCTGTGTGTCCCAGCTTGATGGAGGAGGGGTCACACTGGGCACCTCTGTAGGCAGCAGTGCTGGGAAGGCTTCAGAAGAAGAAGTTGTGCCTACAAGATCAATGTTGTTACCCTCTGGCAAAGCCTCAGTCACTCTTCTTTTGCGTATACAAGAACCCTGGGACTGAATGCAAAAGGCCTGCACTTAGTGTGGTAAAAGCATGTTTCTGTTCTACCTGCACACAGAAAAGGATGCTCAGGAAGAAACTGTTGCCACTGTTCAGGCAATCCATACTGCACTATATCTGGCAAATAGAGTGACTGCAAGTAAGAAAGCACCAAGCTGGCTGACAATTGGATTTCATTTGGTTTCATTTCCTTTACAGGCTCTCTGTATAGAGTTACAGAATGATTTGGGCTGGGAGGGACCTTTCAATGTCATCTGGTCCAACCCCCTACCATGGGCAGCTTGTTATGAACTCTGCCAGGTTCCTCAGAGTGCCATCCAACCTGGCCTTGAATGTTTCCAGGGATAGGGCATCCACAACTTCTCTAGGCAACCTGTTTGAATTTTTCGTCACCCTCATTGTAAAAACCAGAATTCTGTCTTACATCTAATCTAAATCTACCCTCTTTTAGTTTAAAACCATTATCCCTTGCCCTATCACAACAGGCCCTACTAAAAAGTCTGTCCCCATCTTTCTTATGGGCTTCCCTTAGGTACTGGAAGGTGCTCTAAGGCCTCCCTGGAGCCTTCTCTTCTCCAATTAATCACCCCAACTCTTTCAGCCTACCTTCAGGAGAGGTGCCCCAGCCCTCTGATCATCTTTGTGACCCTTCCCTGGACTGTTTCCAACAGGTCTACATCCTCCTTACGCTGGGGACCCCAGAGCAATCAATCTAACAAGCTGGTGAGAAAAACACCAAACAAAAGCTCCCATACATGCCTGCAACTCCAGACAAAACTGGACCTGAAGAAGTCCAGCCTCTCTCATGATCTAATTATAAGGAAATAAAATGAGAAGTCCCTTGCCACAGCAGGAATTGCCAGCATGCTTCTACTGCTGCCCAGAAGCACTTACCATGAATTCTGAGATAACAGCAGAAGAATGGGCAGTACCATCAGCCCAGGGACTTCCTCCAGTGATTGCTCCTGCAAAGTTCACACTCATTGAGGACTGCATTGATTTTCTATTAGAATAGTTCAATCTCATTTATTTCCTCTGGAATGGGTATAAAGTAGCCACTTTTAAGGTCAATAGAAAAGGAAAACCTTCTATCCAATTCTGCAGTTAGAAAGTCCACTGGAATCTGCTTAAGGCTGACCACATTTTTGCATGTGAGTTCTCTTTCACTTGTAGTTGCTTATGTAGCTTTTCTTTTGAGCCCATCTGGCTTGAGGAAGGACACAAAAATGGGACTCTTGCCTTTCATAATAATTTATCTTAAACCTAGAAATGAACGTGTAGGCATTACCAATGCCTGTCCAAGAACAGCTTGTTATCAAGACTTAGAGAAATTAAAGCAACATAACTAATTTGGTTAGAGTAGGATACAGTCATTTCATATGTTAAACAGAGTAATTTATTTGCCTACAGGGACAGCCCATCCCATTGCAACTGCACTCAGCCTATGGTGTACTGATAACATCACACCTTCATTGGCACAATAACTGACTAATGTCCATGTGGAAGTTAAGCCTGAAGAAATCATATCACATCCTAAAGGGTTACAGTATTTTGTCACTCCTCCCTACAACATGGTAAAACATAAGAACTGCTTGAATTCCTGTAAATTTTGTTGTAAATTTTCATGAGTTTCTCAAGAATTTTGTGAACTCTCTAGCTTTACATCTGTGAGCACAGGAACACGTTAGGTGACATGAAAAAAATTTCTAGGTACCATAGTAGGAGAGAAAAGACTTAAATACACAAGCTGAACAGCCTCCAAATACCTACAGAGAAGATCAGGATTTTTAACTATCAGACAATTTCAGTCAATCTCATGATTTTGTGATTTCTTGTGCATGATGGGTGTTTAAAAAGCCATCAAAACCATTGTCCTTTGTGAAAACAGGCAAGATTCATTGACTAAAGTAATCTAAGGTATTGTAGAGTATGAGACACCTGCATGGGGCTGGCAGACTTAAGTTAACATACTCACCCAGACCTGTGCTTCTCCATAGCAGCAGCTTTAGGCCAAGTGGGTACTCTGCAGTGCCCCATCTGAGACTCCACAGCTACAGACAGAAATCTGGATCCCACTCTAGCAGTTTTCCAAGTGTGAAAAACTTGCCCACTCACAGTCCTGAGCTGTGCTGTAAACTACCAACTTCAGCATCTCTGGATGTGTTCCACTGGCATTCAGTGCAGTGGCTACAACCATAAACCAAAGAAGTAAAAGCACTTCCTCCTTCTAGCCCTGTGTGAAAAGGAGAGGCAGCCATGGCAAATGTAAACACAGCTCAGGTTTAGCACGGGCAGCACCTGCATGGCCATCCCTGGGGGCTGTTCCTACAAGGTGAACCTCACACCACTGTGGTCACCCTTGCCACCTCCACATCCTGGCATCTCCTTGGTCTGGTGGCCCTCTGAGGAACCACACAGGCCACACCTTGACTGCTTTGTGACAATTAAGGCTAAGGAAGACAGTCACCAGAATTTGTTTTCCTTAAAAGTAGTATCCAAATCCAGTCCTTTGAAGATGAGAGAAGCAGGGCGTCTTTCCTGTAGTGATTTTCCTAAATCATAAAGACAAGTGTCTTCCTCACATTGCAAGGAGCCTTGATGGGAATAATGCAACTGCAACCCAGCATTGAGTAAGCAGCTCACACCAATACCTTCCTTTCACATTTCTTTGTATTGCACTTTTCCCCCTGTTACAGCAGAAGGTATTTTCATGTAATTAAACATGTAATTTATTTTTGACAATTTCTATGGTTTTTATAATTACCTAATTAGAAGACTAACACTTTAGAATAAATTTCCATAATTTATCCATTCACAGATAATCAAACTATCTATTGCATACCTTTATGCTTGAATATATTACATACCAGCAATAATGCAACAGCTGAGGTGATTTTACTCTCACACACACCCACTCCAGCAATAAACATCATCTTGACCCATGTAAAAAAGCCTCCAGAACTGTCAATTATATGACATTAAAAAGGCAGGCTACAGGACAAAAGGCTTGGCTAGAGAACTGATTGCAGACATAAAGAGCATGGTATGCTCAGATGACCATACGATCAGATGCCAAGGAAGGTGTTCAGCAATTCCAGGCGAGGTATTTCTTTTGGTCCCACGAATTCATGCAATAAGTGTCAGTAGCAGGAGATTCAATGCCTGCACTTTTGAGCAGCCTTGCTCATCAATCCTTTTATCTTTTGTCACCGAGAGTACAGAAATGTTGGGTTGCTCCTGAGCTCTCTTCTGGAGTGAAACAACTCTTTTGGAAAGAAAACCCAGTTGCTGTTTTAGTAGCTTGCTCAAGAGTCACTCCCAAAGAGCAGCACGAACAAGGTTCAACCAGTCTTGGCTTCTTCTGCTGGATGCAAACATGCATAACTATCCCAGCAGTCTCTGATCCCTCAAATGTCACATCCCCTTTTGTTCCATGCTTTTAATTCCAGTGGATTACGAGAACACCCCAGTGCTCAGATTACTTCGGATTTTTGAACTGACAACCAAACAAAACATAGAGAATAAGTCTTATGGCAATGGCTACCTCACGTGGGGCCAGGGGAGGGGCATGGCAAAGGGGAAAACCAAAGGTTTCTAAAGGCTGTTCTCTAGAAGTAGCATGCTCCATTTTGGAAACTCTGATGTTATCTGAAGGGGGGCCGCTCTGCACATGGACACATACAGACACTGTGGGTTTGCTGTGGCCCCCGAAGGCTCACGGTGTCCATGAGCACTTCTCCAATGCCAAGAAAGTGTCAAAGTTGACAAGAAACAAAGCAGCTTTTAGACAAGAAAAGTGACCCTTCTTGGCAGCTGACAACTGTCCAGGGTGGGGTTTAACATAAGAAAGTGTCAACAGACAGGCTTCCCGCTCCTGAGTCATTAGGAGTTGAATTTTAATAATTTGCTGCTTCTGCTCTACAATGCCCTTGCAGTTCTCTAATGCTCCAATCCTTCCCTGTCCCTGCAAGTCATCCTATTTCTCCTCTCCATCCCACATACTCATTCTCAGCAGGCTTCTGGCTCAGTATGCCTGTGATACATCCAAATGGACTGGTTGACCTGGTGGTTTTCCTCATCACTTGTGACTTTGGGCTCCTTTCAAACCAGCCTTGTGCTGATGAAGCGTAGACAACTTTATGACACAAACTCTTCTTGATTCTGCAGGATTGTATTTCCTTTCTTTAAAAGCATTAAAAAAAAATAAATCAGAGAAGGCAGTGTGAAGTAACCACAGAGCTGCCAGCCAGAGTGTTTAATTTAATCCCTCCTCTGTCACTAGTTTGCCATGCAATCCCTGCCTGTGGGTACAAAACTCCTCTGCGACACTGCTCTCTCCAGAGGAACTAGCAGATAACAGGGATTATCTGTGGCTGTAACACTCTTCAAGATGTAGGAAAGAAAAGAAGATGCAAAGGAGGTGCCACCAAAAAAATGCCACAATGGTCAGGCAATTGTGAGCCAGCCCCTGGGATAACCAGTGCCTGGTCTGCACCCCGGCATGCACGGGTGGGCGGGAAGGGCTCGGGATGGCTGTTGGAGGCGTGTGGTGCAGGAGAAGGGCATGGGCTTCCTCACACAGCATCCGCATGTCCTGCACCTGGGGATTGCACTTAAGGGTTTGTTACCTGAACAAGCAATTAAGGAAAAAATAAAATTAAAGTAATACATACCTTTTAAAGATTCCTATTTTTCGTTATCCCAGGCCCCTCTTCCCAGAGCGCGCCACAAGAAAGGATCGCCCCGACTCCGCTCTCATTTTAAAATGCTTCTTTTTATTTCAGTGGTTGTACATTGGGTGAATGAATTTAACGTCACAACAGAAATAGAATGGCTATTTAACAGACCACTAGTAATTATATATGCTGGAAAAGAGTGAATTGAGGGGTTTGTTTTAACTGTTACTGAAATATTCATTGTATGTGTCGTCAATTATGCTGGATGAGAGAGGCAAACAAAAAGGTATTTTGGTGAGGTGCTGTATCCTTTGAAGAAAATAAGCACTGAGACATCTCAAGTCACTTGAAACCATGTCCCAGCTACAGTATTTACTGTCTCTGTGTTGGCCCATCTCATGGTTCTTTTAGGGGGTTATATTTCTTGTTGTATTTTTTTAATTAAACAAAGCATTTAAAATTTAATCATTTTCATTAGACTTTTTTTTAAAATATAAACAAAGTTTTGGCAAATAATATTTATACAGAAAAATAGTTTTAGATTTTCCCAAATTTTGAAATAGTCTATAAAATTACTTTATAAATAAATAAAATGCAGAATCTGTTGTACACGTATTTGCACATCTCTGTAATTGCCTCCTTACTGTTAGCATAGGTTTGTACTTGTACAGTTTTCAGGAATATTACAAAGTCATAAAGTCGGAAAGTGGATCTCTTATTAAAAATACATTTTCTCTTTTTGTCTGTCAGTTTATCTGGATGAAAGACCTGATGTATCTGAAGCTTCGTCATCCATGGGCAAAAAATAGTAATATTGGATTAATTGTAAAAAACATAGAATAACAGTAATTTTGAAACATAAAAAGTTCACACAAAATGATGTCTTGAAGAGTTATCTACATAAAATATTTAAACATGGATAATTTACCATTTAGTATTATACAATAAGCTACCCAAATGCCTAAATTAACTATTATAAAAAAATAAAAACAACTTTGACAGATATAGGCAAGTTGCAGTGTCAACTACCTAGTTATAATGACTGAGAAAGTCTACAAATATTAGTGTTTTAATAGTATATAATGGTGATACCTTAACTGCTAAATAACAAGTTAAGATACATTATTTTTCCACAAATTAAACTAACGCAACGTTACAAGCACTATGTTAATTTTACAACCAAATTATGATTATTTGTTTTTCTTTCGGATGATCAAATCTCCAGCTTTATATATAAATAGATAGTAATTAGACATCGGACAAACAAGATTTAGCCTGGAAAATAATTTCCTAGACAAATAATAATATGGTTAGTGCCTTCAGTCGTTCAGAACAGGCAGTGCTGCCAAAGTTTAAAATAGTTTACAATCAATCTGAAGAGGTTAAGTTAAAATACTGCAATCACTAGTAATGTCCACATAGAAAACTTATGCTGCAAACAATTATACATAATATCCACTTATAACAGCTGTCTTGTTTTTTCAAACAATAATTTAAAAACTATGTAATTTATGTGATACATGTGCAACATATAAAATGTGAAATATGAAATATTTGGTACAATAGTGCTTGAAACAAATCTCAAATCAAACAAATGAAATTTTAATTATACATATATAATTACCTTGTAAATCAACAAAGTATTTAAAAAAGTAAACAACATTAAAATCTGCTTCATCCATATATATGTATGTATGTATATATAACATGTATATAATTGTATTAAAGATATCTTCATACTTTTGTGACATAAAATATGTTTTTAAAGGAAAACAATTAAAAGAACTAATTTTTCTCCACTCTAATCTGGTTACAATCTTATAATCCAATTAAAAAAATGCAAATACAGTAATGATTTATTAAACTGAATCTCATTCTACATTCTTAGTGTTCAGTTAATAGCCTAGATTAAAGTCACCTATGAAGTCTCAGTGACTCAACTGAATTTTAATTAAATTAGAGTATCATACAATCTCTTAATCTACAGCCTTTTTTTTTGCCTTTTCTTTTGTTAGTTTGGTCTTGGTTTTTTTTGTTTTGTTTGATTTTACACTTCCAGAAATTACTTCTTAACAGCTTGGATCTTTTTGGTAACCTGACTACGAGTTTCAAAGATTATTCACGTCCGATGAGATTTGACTGTTGGCATCAGGCTCACTTTCATCAAGTCTGATGTGACAAAATTTAGGCACTTCTGCAAAGTCTATTTTAAAAACATTATAAATATACTCGTAAAATAATATTCTCAAGACTTTGTTCTTTTGGGGATTGAAAGGGGTATGAAGTTCATACTGTGCAAATTTTTTAAAATTTTCTTTTGCTATTCTGCTATGATTCAAATGCAACTTCTCCATACAAGTCAAACACCAACCATGTGCATCTAAAGACTTTGTGCTTTACTTTGGACTTCTGGCTAAAAATATCAGATTGGCAGGATGATGTGCAGGACACCGGGCTGCGTTTCATCTCTTCTGTCTTGGAATCAACTCACCAAGGGAGCAAAACCAAGATTTTTTTTTTAACTGAGAAGAAAACCCCGAATCATAGTTTGGGTGAAAATTAAACCTGCAACTGGGGAAAGTTTTTAGTCAATGCAATTCAATTATTGCTGAGCTCGAAAGATTCATAAACGTGGAATCTCACGAGACGAACTGATCTGGACCATTTTCGTTAGGTGTAGTTATGGAGAAACGACAATATTTGCAATAATTAAACTATGCTTAGAAAACCTTTAAAACTAAATGTTATTCTTTATGTCTTGAAACATCACAGCTGGTATCAGGTAGTTAACTATTTTAGGTTGGAGTATAGTAAGCATACCATATTTAATATTCATATATGACATAGCAGCACTAGCTTTTTTGAGTTTTTGATTTGTCCATAAGAACAAATTCTTGACTTAGCATGCAGTTTGTGGCAACTCTAGAGAGGAGGAGACGGGGTAGTATGTACAGTAGCCGTGCTTGGCCGTCCGCAGGGAGGCTTCGTGACACTCCGTCCCGCTCCTGCCGGCTATTTCAGGATTATCTGTGGAGAGAAAGGGAAAGCGTGATCGCGCTTTTAGGTGACGTGGGGACAGCAGTGCACCCAGCCGGCCTGTGCTGGCCTAACTGGGCTCAGGCACAGCTCACACAGGACAGCGTCCCGTGTGGGATAGCGTGCTGTGTGGGACAGCATTACACGTGGGACAGTGTCCCATGTGGGAGAGCACCCTGTGTGGGAAAACGTCCCCTGTGGGACAGCGTCCCGTGTGGGACAGTGCCCTGTGTGGGACAGCATTACACGTGGGACAGTGTCCCATGTGGGACAGCGCCCTGTGTGGGAAAACGTCCCCTGTGGGACAGTGCCTTGTGTGGGACAGCGCCCTGTGTGGGACAGCGCCCTGTGTGGGACAGTGTCCCGTGTGGGACAGTGCCTTGTGTGGGAAAACGTCCCCTGTGGGACAGCGCCCTGTGTGGGAAAATGTCCCCTGTGGGACAGTACCCAGTGTGGGACAGTGTCCCGTGTGGGACAGTCCCTTGTGTGGGAAAACTTCCCCCTAGGACAGTGCCCTGTGTGGGAAAACGTCTCCTGTGGGACAGTGCCCTGTGTGGGAAAACGTCCCCTGTGGGACAGTCCCTTGTGTGGGAAAACTTCCCCCTAGGACAGTGCCCTGTGTGGGAAAACGTCTCCTGTGGGACAGCATCCCGTGTGGGACAGTGCCCTGTGTGGGACAGCATTACACGTGGGACAGTGTCCCATGTGGGACAGCGCCCTGTGTGGGAAAATGTCCCCTGTGGGACAGTGCCTTGTGTGGGATAGCGTCCCATGTGGGACAGTGCCTTGTGTGGGAAAACGTCCCCTGTGGGACAGTGCCCCGTGTGGGACAGTCCCTTGTGTGGGAAAACTTCCCCCTAGGACAGCATCCCGTGCGGGAAAATGTCCCCTGTGGGACAGCATCCTGTGTGGGACAGTACCCAATGTGGGACAGTGCCTCATGTGGGACAATGTCCCCTGTGGGACAGCATCCCGTGTGGGAAAACGTGCCCTGTGGGACAGTGTCCTGTGTCCTCAGGCTGCCTGTGAGGCGTTTGTGTCTCACACATCCGGTGTCATCCCGTGCACACGTGTGAGAACACGTAGAGGGGGAACTTCATGTGTCAGAATCCTGGAGGGCAGTGCTGCACCCAGGGCCTGGCCGTAGGTGGGTGTGCACTCTCAGTGCCCTGTCTATCAGTGGAGGTGGAAGCCCTGCACCTCCCAGAGAAGCTCAAAGTGCATCTGCACCTGGGGCCATTCTCAGCTCCACTGTGCTCCCAGAAAGTCAGGAATGACCAGGGGAAACAGTGGAGGCAGGGCTCCTTGCCACTAACAAGCAAAAAGATGTACTGGCCTGGGTGTTTTCACGAAGCAAAAGTGTCTTTTCAATGCACTTCTAGCATTGCTAGCATGCTTATTCTCTAAAAAAATTAACCGCAGATCAGTGAACTTGAGAGGTTTTATCACGCTTCCTTATGGCAAGGATTCCAGGGGAAATACTATAGTGGTAACTCTGTGCACCTAACTAGTCACTAACCTTGCTGTTTTACCTTCATGGTGTCTCAAATGGAGAGTGAAAAAATCATTTTACAGGTGTATTTTACTTGTGCTTCCAATATTGCAAAGGTTAAATGCACAGTGTGCTCAGCAACCAACTCCACCTGCTCACAGTATTGGAAAATGGTTCAGATTTCCATCATCTGCCTGAAATGTCTGTCAGTGAAAGTGATATCAAAAGGCAGAAGTTTGATCTTTTATCACACCATTGCTATCCTGTGCTCCAGACTTAAGCACAAGTCAAGGAATTAAGAGTGTATTGCCTGCTCTTCCTGCTTCATTTGGCACTTGGCGTGTTTTTAAGCTGTATCTGCAGGTGGCATGCAAGGTAGTCATGACAGCACTTGGACCTACTTGTGTATTATGAAGCTAGACCACTGCTTAATGCAATATTTATATTAAAAGGGGAGAAAGAGGTGTTTGGAAAGTAACTTAAGCAACATACTACCTCTGACATACACACCACTGAAAAGAAACACACTTGGCTCTGCGTGGCAGGCGCTCGTCCCAGTCCCCTGCCCAGCACCCCACTGCTCCTCACAGCTTCACTGCCTCTCTCCCTGTACACAAGCACCATCTCCCTGACCCCAGTGACCTTGCCAGCAAGCCAAAAAGCCATCTTTGATTGCCATCAGCTCTGGAAATCTGGTGACACGTGAGGCCCCATTGTAATGACACTGTACAAACACCTGCTGCTCCAAAGGACTTAACATCTAAATACATCATGCACACAACAAGGACATATATTTTTAATGAACTTCCACCCATTGTGAGTTTGTTAGCTTATCGCCTATCTTCTGTTTCCTTTTGAAATAACAAAGAAATACCTTTGCTCAAATAATAAAGCCCTGTCTGTGATAACCCTGGTTCAGCTCCAGCACAGTGATTTGACAATACATATAAAGAACACAGCCATGCTGAAAATAAGAAATGACCAAGATTTTCAGCACTAGTATTTTTAGCATGTTACAACCCAACATTAATGTAATTAATAAAGCAGCTTTAGCTACAGTGGGTTAGCCATAATCACACAAGTGTATTTAAAAGATCCTAAGGTCTCATTTAATAGGACATAACCTGAAACTTACTCAGTAAGTTTCTTACTCAGTAAAATCTCAGAATTTCAGCACTGCAGCTGACTACATCATCTGCCAACTCTTGAGGGGATAAACTTGAATTTCCTATAGCTTTTTTTCCTTGAGTACAGGGAGACAGGTAACCTCCTTCTGCCAAGATTACTTTGGTCAAACAGTCCCACAAGACCGGTGTTCACAGTTCCCCCAAAATGTGTGACAGAGAAGGCAGAGGGCCTAATCTCAGGCTGCTTCTCAGGAAAATGGTAGGACTATTCCTGGAACTGTGATTAACCCAAGTGCCTCTCATCCTGCTGTGGACCGTCCAGGCAGGACAGAGGGGTCCTGGGTAATGTGGAAGAGCAGAGACCCCTTCTCTTCCCTGCCCTGGTGAGTGGCAAAGCCCAAGGTAAGGACTCCACTGCTGTGTCCCTATTCCTGCCTTTTCTCTCCTCCTGTCACAACTCAGGAGAACAGCGAAGACAATGTGAGCACTTTCTTTTCTGGGCAAGCATGTCCTGTTTATGGGCTGCAGGTGCCAGAGGAGCAGCTGGAGCTGTCACTGCCATGCCTCCCCTGCTGCCAGTGGCTGTGGAGCTGGCTTGCTCCCACCGCATCATCCTCGATGTGCCGCCCCTTGTACAAGGGCCGTAACTAGGGCATGCTGCACCCAGCTATTTCTAGTACACGTAGGAGTCCTCCTAGGAAAAAACCCTCAAGTGTCTCCTTCAGAACAAGCTTCTCCAGTGCAGCATCACAGAACTGAGGAGCTACATTTCTTTTTTAACCTTAGCCACAAAATGTAAAACGTCTCCCGTAGTCTTTAATTGCATGTTCACACCCTATTTCTCAAAAGATATCACAACTCTGCCACAGCTACATACACAGGCATCAGCTTCTGCCACTGGTTTTTTTTTCGCTGTGTCTGACAGAGAAACATGAAATGCTAAACTACTTTACATGGGAAACACACTGTGAACCTGTCCTGTTTAATCTACAAATGAAGTAATAAACTGTGATGGAAGGCAGAGGTTATCTAAGTCTGCATCGCTGCTAATTGCTCCATCACTTGCATGCTGAAAAAGGAGAAGCTGTACTGGAGAAGGAGCATCCCTGCAAACACTTTCTACAGAGTCTGCACTCCCTTGTTACTTGCAAATAGGTCCAGCCATCTTCATGTTCACTACTCTTTGAAGAATTACATCTCAAATGCACATATATATGACTTGTCATATTTGCTCTGGTACTATTATAACATTATACTTCACAGCAACAGGATGCAATGTCATGACACTTTTACTACAGTATATATAAGAAAAAACCCTGAAAAACAAGACTATAAAAAGACAGGTCAAGCATGGGAATGCATTTTCTCCTGCTCTGAATGGTTAAGAACCACAGGTGTGGATACAGACATGCCAGAAAACACACCTTCTGCTGCTGCAGTAAAAGATCTAATAAGAAGACAAATTCCAGCATAAGCAAAATGGCTGGGCACTTAGAGCCTTGCATAGTACTTCACAGAAGATTTAATAACAGAAAAGAGCATTTTTTTTAGGTAATCACAGACAAAGGTACCCTCTCCATCATATTCTTTCTTGGCACATGTTTGAAGTGGCAGAAAGCTGTCTACCCTTTAGATTAAAATCATTCACACTGTGCCAATGACAGTTAACAGACCTCACTGAAACGAGTAATACAAGTGAAACTAAATTTCTGCAAACTACTTTCTAAACTCACTACTCAAAATTTTCCAGCTCTTTAGATGTGACATTTTCAGCTCCTAAATGTCAAGACTTTCTCTCCTACCAGTGCATGCCTCTCTTAGACCTTTACCTTCAGGACTTCTGAGTGATCATAGTGGTCATTAAGCCCCTTGTGCAACACAGAACATCCCAAAATTCAGGGCTGCTCATAAGGGTGGTACAGTTCTGCAGTGTCATTCAGGGGAATGACAACCAAGAGAGCTATTACTGCCAATGGTTTCAGCTTCTCACCAACTACCAGTGCAGATAAATCGATTTGGGAGTTCCCCAGACCTGGCAAAGGTGGCTGTGATCAGTCATTGTCTCAAGACTCAAAAAGTAATATTGAAAGTCTTTTTAAATTAAAGTAGAAATTCCATTTTTGTGAACTCTTTTCTGACATCCAGGTTACTGCTTTACTTGATACAGTTCATAGAATTGACCAAATTACAGAGAATCGTGACTAGATTCTAGGAATTACAAGAACACTGTTTGGCTTGAGATTTTCTGTTTTGAAGCTACAATTCACAAAGCCTCTTTATAGTCTCTGACTTAAATGCATTTTCCAGTTCCAGATGTATTATACAATGATGAATACAGAAAATTTACCATTCTGCATGAATTCAGTGTACAT